CACTACACTGCAATTAGTACCGAATGTAATCCGCCGTCCAAAAGTTGCGCGAAATCCAGTGGTGGCTACAAGCCGAAACATTTTTCTTCAGGGGTAGAATCTAAGTGATTTCTGTCCAAGAAATGCAACGCAAAAAAAGAACGCCACTTCCACATTAATAGCATTCAGATATGGGGTGTTCCGGAATTCTTTGCACCCTAATAGCACATTTATATTTTTTAATGTGATATATTTTTTAACACTTTTGGTCTTGAGGAGAGTTACTGCCTGCTTGGCGTCGAATGAATGACATTCTGGAAGATTTGCAGTGGTTTCTTTCTGCAAGCGTCCTGCGGGAAGCTCAAATATACAGCCACAATAGTAGAAGCGGACAGTTTCGCGTCAACCATACAAACCAAGAATTGACTATAGATTTTCAGTTGGATTAAAGTCAGAACTACTTGCTAGCCACATGCCTTCCCTCCTGAAATGTGAAATTTTCTCTGGCAGCTACCTCTGAGCCTCCAGAGCTGCATGAGCTGTGGCCCCGTCCTGCCTAAAATTTACCATTGACACGTCCGGAGGAAGTTTATTTTCAAATTTTGACCTGCTCACACGATTTTTTTTTCAATCTATCTAACAGGTTTTACGTTAGGATCTCCTCTGTATAATATTCACCATTCACTCGTTGATCCTGTGGTACAATGCGGAAGTTAGAGAGCTCTACAAAGGACATTGCTCCCCAAACCATAACTGTAGGGTTAAAATTTGGGCCTTCAACATCCTCAACCATGTTACAACTTAGAGCCCCAGAAACGTCGTTTGGCAACAGGAACAATTCGTACGGTGATTAGTCGGAGAAGACGCCCTGTTTAAAATCGTTTACAGTCCACCCCTGACCATCTTACAGAAGCTAATCTTATTTTTTGTCTGTTTTTCTGTTGGGCTATGGATTTTTCCTTCTGTGATGGGCGGTAACTCCTAAACTTGCATGCAAATAGCGCTTTGGGCTGGACGTAGAACCCTTCAGCCCTTTAGCATTCAGTTTCTTTGCGAGTTTATTCGTGCTTTTCCTTGGTTTACCATCTTGGCTTATGAGCTCCTCAACTTCCTCAAAAGTTTTTGGCCTTCCAGAGTTCTTCTGCTCTGTGAGGATACCTGTCCGTTTGAACTTTGACCACGAATATCTGATCGTTCTTAAAGATGCGTTTACAGCTTTAGAAACCTCGACTCGCATTACCTCGGTCTCCACCATACCTATGGCCCGAACTATGACCTTAAATGCGGTCATTGGGTCTATTAAAATGACAGTTCTTCACCGGGCGCTTTGTACTTGAAATCTTAGGTACCTCAGTTTCCGCCTTGTGGCATATTGCCAGCTGACCGGCTTAACAACTATCCTTGCGTGCAACTACTTGTTAATGTATAAATACAGTTTGACATCAAGTGCATAGGCAGAGTGGCTTTTAGTGATGTAATTGGAAGAGCCTTTGTCTTAAGGCAGAGGTCGGCATCCTTTTTGACTCAGAGAGCCAAGAAAGCAAATAGTTGGTAATATATTCCAGTTAGAGTCATATGATATCTTTTAAGAGTGAATTCAATTAAATGCGATTATAATAAGCTTCTGGATTTATTCTTTGGAAAAACCAAAATCACAAAATCTGAAGTTTCTAATTCCAATTTTATCCGAGAGAGCCAGATGCAATCATCAAAAGAGCCACACCTGGCTCGCGAGCCGTACGTTCCCGACCCCTGTCTTAAGGCAATGACCGTACGCAGTTGAATAAGAGGTCAGATTATATGATGTCATTTAGTTTTACGCTCAGTGAAGCCTCAGGTGACGAGCATGTTAGGAAGCGAGCGAGCCACTCACAGGAAAGTAGTTTCGATTAACAAGCTTCCGCATAGTTAACGAGTTGTCAATGCATGTGTTTTTGCTTGTGTCCGTCCCCGGGCCGTAAGTCTTCGGTCGCCTGCAACCAATAAGTGAACTGGTGCAGTTTGATTGGCTAGGTTTCATAAGACAAGCTTGGTGACGGAACGGAGTAAACTCATCATCCGAGGTTTCACTGTATTAGCTTGATCTTGCCCTGTTTAAATCCATTCAGTTTCATCGACTCCCTTCTCTTTCAAGGATAAGGATACATTCTTTCTATTCTCAATCGAAGAGGTGATGCTGCCCTCAAAGTAAATTATTTTTACACATGCTCCTGGAATCGAACATGTTGGTTTGTTGAAAAAAAAACTCGGCTTGCGAAAAGTACCCAATCAAACTGCATGAGTTCACTGATTGGCTGTAAGCGGCTGAGGACCCATACCCTGGCAGCAAGACTCAAGGGCGGATATAGGCACACAAGCACACGCACTGAAAATTCTTTAGGTAAGCGGAAACTCGTCAGTCGGAACACATTTTCCGTGAGTGGCTCGCCATTTACCTGGA